GATGGGATGGTGGGGAAGGGAGGAAGCCATGGGAAAAGGGTGGTGGGGAATCAGTGGGGCTTTGGGAAAGGGCTGGGGCCGCAGGGAGGGGATCCTGCCACCGTCACACCATGGCAAATGGATCGTACCACGGAACAGTGACCACAGCACGGAGAAGGGGTTGTGCCTCGGGGATGGGACCACACGGGGGACATGGGGTCACACTGACTCCCCTGCAAAGCGAGAAGGAGACCCCCGAGGGACTGCGCTTTATTTCAGCCCGCGCCAATCCCTGTAACTGCATGGATAGAGAGTCGGCGCCCGGCATGGCTGCATCCCGCTACACCCAATCCCACAGGAAAACCCACGGGAGCAGCCCCGGAGGCTGCTGGTGCTCGGCATGGGGACCCCCAGGAGGTGGCGGGGGGCTGGATGGGCACCGAGCCTCCCCGCGGTCGCGGGGCTCTCCGGGTCGGTCACGGCAGCACGAGGCCACGGCACCGAAAACATCAGCCTTTGAGAGACAGGAGCTCCTGCGGCATTAGTCCAAAGGCGCCTGGGGACACCGGCCAGTCCCGCATCCCTCGCCAGGGGTTGAAGGGTCCCAGGGATTGAAAATGACCAAAATAAGCACCCCAAAACCAGCCTTTCGCTGCCCTGCTGGAGATGCAGGCGTTGTTTTCAAGCAAGATTTATAAAGAAAGTTAAGAATTGACTTTAAAAAATATCCCCGTTTAGTCAGCAGCTGAGACCCGACGGGCTCATCACACCAGTGGACACACTCTCAGCGTCACCTCCGCGGTGTCCCCTGCCCTCGGGGGCGACGGAGGGACCCCAACATCTGTCCACCACCACTCGTCCCACTCGGTGTCCCCAAAAGCCACCCAGACCCAAGCAAGGGGGGACACCAGGCAAGTGGCTGTCCCCACACCACCCACCCCATTTATTTTTTTTGCCTTAATTTGTGGAGTTTGCGGTTGTTTTTTTTTTTTCCCCCGCCCCTTAAATAGAAAATAAATCAAGCCGCTTTCCCACAATCACCACAGTCGCTCCTCTGGGGGTGCAGCCATCAAGGGACATCCCATGGGACACAACAAGGTCCTCCAGAAGCTCCCCCATCACTCGGAAAGAACGGTGACAGCGCAGGGTCCCCTCCGCAGCTGGGGTGAATTCCTCTGCAAAATGGTAATTCCTGGAGAAAAAAAAAAAACACAAACAAATAAAAAGAGAGGCCCACGCTCCTCTCCTGGCTTCACCAAATTCCCAGCGGATGCTTTGTCCCAGCTGGGGTGGAGCTGGTCAGAAAGGGGTCCCCCCGGCATCACCTTCTCGGGGGAATTTGGGTGGTGGGAGGCGGTAGCGATTGCTCCAAAGAATCAACCAAGGTGACGATTTTGACAAAATAAGTTTATTTCGCTTCGCTTCATTTCTGCCGAAACCTCACATTTTTCTTTTTGTGTGGTTTTTTTTTTTTTTTTTTTTTTTGGCTGGAAAACAAAAAAACAAAAAACCCAAACCAAAAATCCCACCGAAAACGCAAAGAACCGCATCGCTTCACCCTCTCCCGGAGGCGACCGAGAGGCTCTTTTGACCACCTTCACTCCCCCCGCCTGGGCCGAGATCGGAACCCTCTAGGAACCGCTCGCAGCTCTTTAACGCCCGAGGTTTTTCTCAACCTTCTGAATGTCTGGGTTTGTTTTCACCTTCTTTCCCGTTTTTTGATTGATTTCTTTTTTTGTGTGTGTGTGTGTTTTGTTGTTTTTTGTTTTTTTTTTTTTCTAAATTAATTTATTTATAGATATATTTAAAAAAAGCAATAGTCCTTTGGTCCCTAAACTCTAAGGAATGATATGACTCTGAAACAAGTAATCCTATGTCCCTGTGCCAGTGACGAGCAGGGGGAAGCGCGTGTCCCGCCGCCCTGCTCCATGGGATATATATATATATATACTTATTTATATATATCTTCTATAAGTCCAACATCCTTTGATCCTTTTTTTTTTTTTTTCCTTTTTTTTCCCCCAAACGTGGGGAAAAAGAAAACCTTGCCCTTTTTCTTTCTCCAAACAAGTATCCTCCAGGTGAAGCGCCCGAAGCTGGTCCCGTCCCACCGGCTTTGGTTTAAGAATCCGTTTGGAGCCTCTTCTTTCCTCGTTTCTCCTGGGAAATCGGTAGCAGCAAATGAGTGCTTTTTTTTAAAAAAAAACAAACAAACAAACAAAAAACCAACAACAAAGGTAGATCGTATCCCGGTTGCCCGGGGCTGTTGTCCTTTCTCCCGGTGAGGGATTCAGTGAGTCCCGGCAAGCGGCCGGCAGCAAATCTCAGCCCCGGCGCCGCATCGCTCTCCTCCTTCCTTGTCTTCCTCGCTCTCTCGTTACCGTTAAGTAACAAACAAGACAGGTTTGGGAAAAAATATCAAAAAAAAAAAAAACCCCGAAAAGAAAAGCTACGACCAGAATGGCTCTCTTCTTCGCTGTTTTCTCCATCACCTCCTCCTCCTCTTCCTCCTCCTCCGGGATGTGGTGCAAAGAAAGAGAGTTACGGGTTTGGATACTGCACTTGGGGAAGGGGAAAGTCGTCAGACACCGCGGGACGCCCGACCTGCAAAACAGCGAAGGGGCTGTCACCCCGTGTCCTGAGGGACGGAGGGAAGGAGGGATGGGGAGAGGGTCCTAAACCCCAGTTTGAAACACACACACCCAGATGGTCCCGGGCGCAGAGACCCTCCCCACGCACTGGAGGACATTTTTGGGGAAACCACGGCACCTGCGATGCTTTAGGTGAGCCGAGCCCCACAGCAGGTCCCCTCGGGCATCGCAGGGGGTGCAGCAGGGCCAGGCCCCCCCTGCTCCCCCCCGTACCTCTCCGCAGGGCCAGGGTGAACAGGGGTCAGTAGGGTCTGTTGGCATCTTTCGGCCGCTTTAGCTGGACTTTTAGCCTCTTCATGCCGATCTGGAAGCCGTTCATGGCCTGAATGGCTGCCTGAGCGCTCGTCGGATTGTCAAAACTGACGAAACCTGGGGGCGAGGGACGAGGTGACAAGAGGAGTTTGTCACCGTAAACATCACAGGTTGCCACTTTACTTCAACCGAGGTGTGGAAATCCTGCAGGATGCTCCTGCGGGTAGCCTCAGGTGGAGCCCCACGTTGGGGGGCTGGGAGAGGGGGATGGTGGGGTAACGGCGCAGCTCTGGTGACAGGCTGATGGCATCTTTGGGGACACCAAGGTCTGCAGGGACATCGAGGTGACAGGGTCTGTGGGGACACCAGCATAAGAAGGTCCACAGGGAGACGAGTGGTCCACAGGGACACGAGCGGTCCACAGGGACACTAAGGTGATGGGATTTGTGGGGTCACTGGGGTGAAAGGGTCTATCAAAGCGATGGGGACTGTAGGGACACCAAGGTGACAGGGTCTGTGGGCTCAAGGAACACCCAGGTGACAGGGTCTGCAAAGACACCGAGGTGATGGGGCCTCCAGAGACACTGGGGTGACAGCGTCTATGGGGACACCAAGGTGAGGTCTGTAGGGACACCGAGGCCTGCAGGTCTGTGGAGACACCAGGGCAACAGGGTCTGGGGACACCAGGATGACAGGACTTGTAGGGCCACCAAGGGGACACAGGCTATAGGGGCACTGTGGTGACAGGTCCGCAGGCCAGAGCATGATGGTGGCAGCAGTGGCACTCAGCCACATGAGCAGAAAATGGCAGTGGCAAGTGGTGACCAGCCTTCCCTGGCGGGCTGAGGACATGTGGGACAGCATAAGAGGGGACAGCAGCAGGGCATGTCCTTCTGTCCTGGCACGGTGTGGGACAAAAAGCCTGCCCTTTGGCCCTGGGACAGACAGACAGTTGCTCCAGCCATCCTGTGGCTTTGATCACCCATCGGTGCTGCCCGAGCCAGTTCCCTGACCTGGGATGTCGGCGAGAGCAGGACCCTTGAGCTGGGGACGTCAAGGAGAGCCGGAACCCCAAGCTGGGATCACTGGGGAGAGCCAAACCTCTGAACTGGGACATCTGGGAGAGCCAAACCTCCGAGCTGGGACAGCAGCAAGAGCGGGACATCCCGCACACCGGGACTTACCAAAGCATTTACTCTGGTTGGTGGCACGGTCCACAAAGACTTTGGCAGAGATGACATTGCCGAAAGGCAAGAACATCTGCGTGAGCTCCGCATCCCCGAACTCCTGGGGCAGGTGATAAATAAACAGGTTACAGCCTTCGGGACCTGGGTGACACACAAAGGACAGCCGCACGTCAGCCGCGAGGCGGGGGGTCACCCCGGGGCTGGGGGGGGGAAGCGAGGAGCCGCCGGCCCCCCGGCGGGATGGCCCCCACAACCCCTCACCTTCTCGCTGCTGCTGCGGGATGATGGGCGCTTGCTGGGGAAAGGCTTGGCTGATGGGTGCGTAGGCGGTGGGATACGCTGCTGGAAGAGAAAATGGTGGTGCTGAGACCCCGGCACCCACCCCGCTCCTGCCACAGCCCTGGGAAGGGCTGGGGACAGGGAGGTCCCCCCCTGCCACCCTCGATGGAGGTGCCTCTCCTGGCCCGGGGTTGCTGGCTCAGCCCTTCCCACCCCTTCCAGCATGGCCCCAGTCTCCCGGCACACCGGGATGCAGGAATGGCCGTCCCAGGAGGGACGCAGTAATATGACCTCAAGGTTGAGGAAAGCTGGCACTTTTGGTTGAAAAAAAAAAACCAAACAATTTGGGTCCAAAACTTGACTTTCTGTTGAAAATCTGGAAATCGCAGTTAGTGCTCCTAATTAAATGACTGCCGGGCTCGATGTACTTCCGTAAGATGCTTTGACTGCCTTCTCTCCGCATCCCATCTCCCCAGCCATCGGATTCAGCCATCTGATGAACATCTGAGGACTTATGTTTTGGCGCCTCCATGGCCATCTCTACCAGTAGGTCGGCATGTCGGCAGGATCCAGCATGGAGTCGTCTCTCTGTCACCACCCAAACCTTTGCCCCTCTCCTGTGTACCAACCACCAGCTCTCCCCCACGGAGTTATCTCAGCCCAGTGGGTGTTAAAACTCACTTTCCTCCATCCAAAATTTGCATGGAGGGCCATGCCAGGAGCGCATCCGTGTTGCTGGGTACGAGGGGATGGAACTCTGCATCAGTGTCACCCCTACTGCTGCCCCGGAGCTCCTGCCAGGGTATGGCACCCCATCCTCACCACATTAATCCGTGCCCAAGCACGCTGTCCCAATCCTGTGGTTCAACCCCAAGGTGACATTCACCCCCCCGCCAAAAAATAAGGGTGAGGAGCAAAGAGTGGCGAGAGGGGAGAAGTGAGAAGCGAAGTTTGAGACCTGCATAGTGCTGCATGCCTGCGTAGGCTTGCTGGAGGGGATCTGCCACCGTAGGGCTTTGAGCTGGGAAGAGAAAAGAAGGGAGAAGGAAGAGAGAATAAGCAAGAGAAACCCAGGGATGAGCAGTTCCCGCGGGAGAGGGCTCTCGGCCAAGCACCGCCGCGAAGGGGCAGAGCTGCTCCCTGCCGTTTCGCCGGAGCCGAGAGCGTCGCCAATGCCATGGGAGGAGGAGGGATTTCGGTGGGTATCGGCGCACGGCTGCTTCATCCGGCATGTTCCCGGGGTGGGGAGCACCCCCGGAGCATCCCCATCCCCAGGGGAAACGCGACGGAGGCCTCCCGGCCGTCGGCGAGGAGGGTTACCTGGGTAGGGGTGGATGCCGTTGGTGTAGATGGTCTCGGAGGCGGGCTGCCCGGTGGGCTGCGGCGGCGGGCGGCGGGAGACCGC